TTTCAAATACATTTATAAATAATTTAATAAATATTTATGTGTTTTGTTAAAGGCAGATACATGCTTTTTGGAAGCATATGCATAAATACCCATATATATTTCATATTTTTCATTTCCGGCATGTGGAAATCTTTAATTTCTGAGCATTCACAATATTTTTCAAGGAAAGTAATTTACACTAATTTTAAAAAGTACGTTACAATAATATGTGAATGAGAAAAAAAATTATTTTATTTAAAACATTTTGGTGTTTGGAACATAAAATAAAAGTAGCGAATACTGTATTAAGGGTATTGAGGTATTTTTCATTCTTTAAGCATAACTTTTTTGATAGAATCTATATTTTTGTAGTTCAACAGCTTAAAATTTTATAAAACAAATTCATAATCAAAATCGCTGTTGTTAGTTATAAAAAAATAAGCAAGATGTAATTTTTGCGTAAATGTCGCTAAACTATACAAATTGCTGTTATCCATCATACTAGGAATGTTTCTTTTATGCGGAAATGTCCCATTTTTCGATTTGTATGGAACTGTCATGTGTCGAGTGCTGTCAAGCGAGCTTCTGAATGTAAACAAAAAACACCCCATCTGGTGACCGAAGCTTCGGAGCAGTGCTTCACTTCTAATGCCGGTTTGGCCACTCCTGCCTTTCTTACCTCCATGGTTGGAACCCTCTTCGAAGAAACTAAACGTAAACAGTTATTGCTGTGCATCAAGTTTCCCTGGCAAACCAATTATTAATTGTAATAAGGTCATCAATATATCTGTAAGTGTGCTTGTAGTAATTTACTAGTCTATTAGATCTGCCTAAACTCTTCCCTGATATGCTCACAATTATGACTCTTAACAAATGGAAAAACCTACTTAAAATGCACACTTTTTCATAACTACATGACCTGTTTAGTTGATGTATCACACCACAAATATTTCCCCGAAGGTAGAGAACATTGCTTTAAATTCAAGGAAGTAGTGGTTTGCAAAATCTTCAGTTCTTCATCTTGAGTCTGTTCATCAGCTATTTTATCATAATCTATATCGATGAAATTTCATTAACTCTAGATAACGTATCCGCCACAATATTATTCTCACCTTTTAATATTTGATATCAGTCGAAAACTGGGAGATGTATTGAAGTTGTCGAGCTTGTCTAGGTGCTGCCTTGTCAACTTTTTGACGAAAGGCGAATATTAAGGGCTTGTGATCTGTATAAATTGTAAATACTCTTCCTTCTAGATAATGCTTAAAGTGTCTAACTGAAAGATATATGCTTAATAGTTCTCTATCATAGGTGCTTATTTTTGCTGAGTATCATTTAATTTTTTAGAAAAAACGCTATTGGTTTCCACGAAGAGTTTTCATATTGTTGCAACACTGAGCCAATTGCCGTATCTGTAAAGAACACCAGAGGTAGTTCAGAATTGGGAAAAGACAACAGTGCCGTGTTCACCAGGTCATTCTTGCACGTTTCAAGCTGTTTTTCAGCTACTTCAGTCCATTTGATTTTACGTTTGTCCCTCTTTTTAGCTCCCTTAGGCTGCTATCACACATCGGTTTGTTTCGGAAGAACAACTGTTGGAACAATTTTTCTGCTTTGTCACAACAGCCAATCACCACAGATCGCTTTGGGGTTAATGCAGGGGAAACTGGTTCCCCATTACAAACAAGCTTAGCTGATTTTGTGAACAACCTGCAATTTTTTTAGTCGCGCGTCTTTCTTTCAATAGTAAACCAGGGAGAAAAATTGTCCGAAACAGTTGTTCGTGTGAAACAAACGGCCTGTGATATGGGCCTTAAGATATGCATGTAACAATGCTTGATTCTTTGCAGCATCTTTTATGTGACGACGATAAAAGTTAAGTATTCCAAGAAAAGTCCTAATTTCATGAATTGTTTCTGGTCGTTTGTAGTTGGAAATAGCTTGAACTCTTTCTGGCAAAGGACGGGAATCCTTAGGTGTAATTAGGTAGCCTAGAAACTCGATTTGGGGAACAGCAAATACAGATTTTGAAACATTAATTCTTAACCCAAATGTATGTAATCTTTCGAAAACTAATTTAAGGTGATTTTCGTGTTCTTCATGGGTACTGGATGCAATGAGTATATCGTCTAAATAGGGAAAAAATTCTAATCCTCTAAAGACTTCGTGAATAAATCTTTGGAACGTTGCAGGAGCATTTTTTAAACCGAAACTCATTACATTAAATTCGTATAAACCGAAAGGAGTGATGATAGCCGTTTTACATTTGTCTTCTTCTGCAATGGGAATTTGAAAATAAGCTTTGAATAAATCAATTTTAGAAAAAATATTTGTACCTCTTAAAATATGATGAAAATCTTCAATGCGAGGAATTGGGTATCGATCATGTATCGTCTGCGCATTCAATCGTCGGTAGTCTCCGCAAGGACGATATGAACCATCCTTTTTCGTAACAAGGTGCAAAGGGCTTGACCACTGGGAGTTTGATGGACGAATTATTCCATTGTCAAGCATAAATTTAAATTCCTCTTTAGCTATAGCTAAGCGTTTTGGATCGAGCTGTCGTGCCTTTGAATAAACGGGTTGACCAACAGTCGAAATAAAATGTGTAACACCATGTTTAATTTGTGTAGGAAAAAGGTTAGGTTTAGAAATTTCGGGATATTTCGACAGTAAATCGAAAATTTTTATGGATTTATTTAATGTGGTTACTGAGTAATCACTGGAAATAGCAGCGACATCACACTGGACACAAAGCTGTGTTACGCCATCAATTAATTTTTTCTTATTTATATCGACAAGCAATTTATATTTGTGAAGAAAGTCAGCTCCTAAAATACCTTTTGTGACATCAGCAATTATGAATGGAAACTGAAAATCACGACGTAATCCCAAATCAAGAGTTAGCGTTTTTATGCCATAAGTGGAAATATCTGTGCCATTAGCTGCATACAGTTTATATTCAGTTTTACATTTATTCTGTGAAGTAGCAGGAATTATGCTTACGTCAGCTCCGCTATCAATAAGAAAGTGCAAATTTGATCTTCGGTCACGAACGAATAAACGAAATTTGCGACAATCCTTCATATTTTCTGCAGCAGCGTTTGCCGCTGAACCTACTGCAGATTCGAGTTTTCCTGGTTTTTGGAATTGTTTACCCAAGCACACGGAGGCTTGCATTTCTCTAGAATGAATTTTGCTCCAAAACGAAAGTGATAAAAACAAAATTTGCCAGTAGGGTCATATCGTTTACGAGGTTGGCTTCGAGATCGTGAACGTGAATTACGTAAATCCGAGTCCCTTCGTCTTGAGCGAATGGTTACTTGATCAATTTTTTGTTCAAGAAAGGTAATTCTTTGCAACAAATCATTTGCGGGAACAGAAGGAGCATTAGTACTAAATACTTCTGGTTTCCGATTCATATCACTAATTTTATCTGCCATAGACGCTAACTTGGTTACATCTTCATCACTAACTAATAATATATTTTTTATGGAGTCAGGTAGCTTCTCCAGCCATAAAGTTTTGATTAGATTTTCAGACACATCTGTAGTAGCAACAGATCTCAACTTCTGCAAAAATTAGCTTGGTTTCATGTCTCCAAGCTCGATACCAGTAATCAAACGTTTAATCCGTACATTTTCACTATCTTTGAATAAATGTAATAACCTAATTTTAGCATCCGAATATTTTGTAGCACTGTCGTTCGTTACAATGTCCCAAATATTTTTGACGAACTTAGGTTTGAGCTGTGAAAATTTTGAAACCAAAACCCAGCAATCATGAATCAGAACTATTTGCCATTCAGCATAAAAGAAATATAAATATGAATATTAACAAAATATTAGTTAATATATAAGTTAATTTTATAAAATAATTAAACACATGAACAAACATATGAAATAAAAAATAATTATTTCTAATAACTAGGCCACTACAGTATCACAAGTACAAGAAATAAAGGGACAGAAATTACCAGAACTATTCCTTGCTCATAAAAATCATATATGCTGCAGTAGATGATACCATTTCAAAATGTTCCAAAAGACATTAGTTTCCACCTTTACAGCAACAGACCATGAACTGACTGGAACAGTAAAAAACACATGGGTTTGCTTAGATATCTGAAATAGCACAGATGATTCTCACAACCAGATCAATTTTTTAGACACGACAGATATTTCATTTACAACAGTTTTAAGTGCTCCCCAAAGAAAATAATCAAAGTTGCTCAAATTTGGAGAGCGTGGAGGATAGGCAACCTGTCCAACCAATTGTTGACAAATGACACACTCAAATGTCTCTGAATACAACTTCCCCATGATATTGCATTTCACATTTTATGACACTGGAAGAACCTTTTCCAAAAAGATAAGATAATTTGCTGATGACATAGGTAATAGTAACAGGTTAGGTCTGATTTAGCAGTGCCTGACCGAGATGAATAAGGAAATGAATAATGAAAGAAATAAGGAAAAATGATAAACATAAGTGATATACAATTTCTATTACCAAAGATTAATTCATTTCATATTTACTGTTTCACTTTTGCATGTTAGAAAGTAAATTCCTTTATCTAATTATAATCCAACCAAAATTTAAGTAATAATATACCCCTTTACTGAAAAATAATTCCACCATTCTTAATTTAAGTAACATAATCTTTGATTTTCTTACGTCATCTGATGTCCAGTTAACGTGTTGCTCACAATCTTTTCCTGCCAACTATTAAAATCTTTTAGATAATTGAAATGCATATTTGAAACTTATACAGCAAATGCAACTATGCAAATTTACTATATACACATATTACATATCAGAAATTTGAATTATCAATGTAGCACAAAATGCTGTGATATCAAATTGAAGACACATACACACAAAATTAAATCAAAATTCTGACTGTAATTTGAAGTAATCCTTAACATTCCATTTTAATTTGGCTACATGTGTGTATAAGTGTAAATATTAGTCAAGATGTAATACGATGCAGTAGATTTTCCAGTGAAAAGAGTCATGGATTTTTAATTTTTTAAGTATTTTTAATATACATAAAAAGCACACACATATAAAACTGCAAGTGTACAGTATCTTAAAAAAACAAAAATTGCATTTTTAAAAAATTTTTTACATTACATAACATATTGTATTACTGACAAGTTTTCTTTAACATGCAGGCTTCAACTGCTGTGTTGGCAACAATTTAAATCTCTTTTTTATTATAATTCTGTATTTACTATATCCATCTGCTGGAGAAAAACGAGCTGAAAAGAAATAATTAGATACATAAAAAAGTGAGAAGACTTCTTGAAAATTTATCAAATGAAATATTTTCTCCCCCTAGGGGGTGAGCTATACAGACAACTAAATATTTCACAAGGGGGAGTGGGCTTGGCATAATTATGCCATAGAAGTAGGGGGAAAAATCACAGATAATTTGAAGATATTTGCAAACTTTCAATGTATACATACTTACACATATGGATTACTTAACAGTTATTTATTTCCAAATAATAGAACTTAAAGCAAAGGAAAAACTTAAATTATTTGTATTTCCAGTAGACAATACTAATAGATTGTACAAATAAAAATTACCAGGATGCGCAGAAAATGTAGGTTTTCCATTTGGATCAAATTTCTGAAAAGAAAAAAATGTTCTCATAAATTAGAATTAATAAAAGTTACAAAAATCTTAATATTAACCAAACATATAAATGAATTAAATTATATAGAAGATTTACATTGCAAGTATACTTGAATGATTAGACTTTAGAATAAAAGCCTGAACTATTTGGCAATTAACTAAATGAAATATTTTGTAAATTCCCCCCTCCCCCCACAAACGAGTAAGCAAATAAGGGCCTTGTAAAGCCATTACAAAGCACATATAGAACACAATCAACAAGCAGTTGATTTAAAGTCCGAGATCCGCAATGATCTAAAATCCGGACCTCAAAGCCACCCAACAATTTTTCTTTAGGAAGTATTTCTTTATGCTTTACGCATGCACATTTGATTCCCTCCCCATAATAAAACATGCGGAGAATCCCGATTTTTAATTTCACTTCAGCACTAAATAAAGTACCTTGTTATTGAAGAAACAATCATTTTAGCATATATTTGTATGATCAATAATTTGACACCGTAGCTGCGTGTCTGCTTGCCGTACGTTTCAAACCAAAACATTCTACATAGAAACATTGTTGATTTTACATCAACTAATATTTTATATCCTTGATGCCAACCTGGTGAATCATTATTTATTATATTTGGCTTTCATCACAGCATGTTTATCAGCTAATGACAACTTGTGTAATGGCTCATTCAATAATACCTAAACATTTTTTTTTTTTTTAATATTAGTAACTGGTAATTGAATAACAAAGAGCATGGTAAACTTTTCTGTTGACATTACATTTGGCTGTGATTATAGATTTAAGTTAAATACGCTAAGATATGCTGATGAGGAAAAGTTTAACAAAACTTTCTTTGGACAGGCTAAAAATAAATTTTGTTAATGATATTCACAGGCCAAAAGAGATTACATTTAGTGCTATTTGAATTAAGAATTACTAATTTGTTATTCACATAAACACAGAATGGTGCCAGAGCTTGAATGGCCGCAACAGGCAGTAGAAATTAACGGATGACAAACGAGCTAAAGTGCAAATATAAAATAGCATTTTTAAAGTCCATGTTAATTTTTAATTGTAATGGCAAGACTATTCAAAAATTTTTGAAACATTTTACCATAAAATCTGCTGCAAAGAGCATCGGAAGATCGTGGGGGGATGTGTCTCGAGATACTTTAAAAAATGCTTGGCATAATTTAAGGCCAGCTACCATATTCCATGGTGAGGATGATGAAGATGATAGCCGTGAATTTGGAGGCTTTCGGACATACGAAACCAGAGGTAAAATTTTCCAATTAATGGATTTTGTAAAGAAATGTGGAGAAGCGGTAATAAACAATGATATAACATAATTTTTTCATTTCGATGACAATGCTCTAATAAATAATCAATTAATGGACAAACTGTGCTCCAATCTTATCATTCGTTTATCCTCCTTCTTCTGACTTGCTGCTGAGAACCACTTGTTGTGGCTGTAGAAAATGTACTCTAGAAAAAATCCAAAATCAGTATTGTTTCTGGAGCCATGAAGACCACCCTGATTGACGACATGCTTATGTTAACTGGTGATAAATCTTTAAGAACCATAATTCAAGACATGGGCTTAATTCTCTGAGAAAATATCATTAGAGTTCCTGGATGTCTTTCACTCTGGAATGAAGTCAATCAAAATCTGACTAGAAATCTGAAGACTCAGATGGGCTTTCTACAGAGAGTTTTTCAGTTAAAAAATTCACTTGGTTTAATGAACGAAAAAGAATTACTTTTTCCACTAAAAAATTCAATAAATTTGAAATCTTTCTAGATAAATCTTAACTGAGTCAAAAAGTAACGAAATGTAATACGGATCCGTCTATTTTGAGAGCCCTCGCTTTCAAAGTATTAAATATTTTTTACCCTGAGCCAGAGTGGCTTCGGATCTTCACTGATGAATCCCTCCTGTCCGATGGCCCTAATGCAGGTGCTGGAGTTTTCTCCGAAATTTTCTCTTTCTACATGCCTGTGGGCCAAGGTTCTGTGTTTGACGGTGAAATTGCTGTGATTCGGACAGCTCTGTACCAGCTATCATGCCACTTGAAAAATTCTCAAGAGCTGTTATATCAGTGATTCATGAGCTGCTCTGTTGGTTATCGTTTCAGATAAAAATCCCATATCACAGGACATATTGGATTGTCGACATTATCTACAAAACCTGGATTCACTTGAGAAAACTATAGTCCTCCAGTGGGTTCCTGCCCACTGTGGGATTCCAGGTAACGAGAAAGCCAACTTCTTGGCAAAAAAGGGTGCTTTAATCAAGCAGAATATTTCTTGTCCTTTGCCTTTCCATACTATTAGGGTATGCCCACCAGCGGCCGAGCGGTAAAGTTGCTGAACACTGGTAGTTCGGTCCGAGGTTCGAATCCCGCGAACGGGCTGGCTGCATGGGTGTTTTCGTGGTTTTCCCCATGTGTAACGTGCATACGAGCCAGTTTCCCTTAGAAAGTCCTCCCTCTCCTTAGGCAGATAGCCCTCGTGTGCTTTGCCATAATTAAATACACCACACACCATACTGTTAGGGATCTTATTGAAAGATCTTTCAAAGTACGTGCTCAGGAAGATCTCTATCATCACATTTCTCATAAGTCCTGGAAGAATGCTATCTCGAATTAGTGTAATTGCTCAAGGCGTAGAGCAGTCGTTCAATTCTGCCTTGCCACCAAACATGATTGCCTACAATATCCAATATCATCTTCATAGATTCAAAATTGTTCCTTCTCCAAAAATTCGATATGCACTCTGTGCAGCTCTGGAGAGGTGATGGATGCCGCACATCTAACCTACTGTTTTGCTCTGAGCAAAACTTTTCTCGCCGAGCGTTACTGGGAGGCAAGAGATATGTTAGATTAATGGAATCTGTTACCGCTGGTTTTTTTCCATTAAATTGCTGTATTCTATGTTCTTGTTTTCTTTGGCTGTAATTGTTTATAATCTGCCATTGGAAATAAAAAAAAAAATAATAATCAATCAACGGATGGTGAAATCTGTGGTATGGTTCTAGATACAGAAAATACCTCTATCAATAGTGAGGAAAGAAAAAACAAAGAGGTTATTGAAAATTAAAAAATTTCAATTGACAAATTAGTCAGAATTCTTGACACAGTAACTACAAGATTTGAACAATGGAACTTTGTAACTGGACAAGAAATTATACTTGTTTATAGAATTAAAGAGAAAGTACAAAGTCTGTAATCCAGACGTCCATTATCCGGAATGATCTATAATCCGGACCTCAAAGCCACAAACTGTTTTTTTTTTTTTTTTTTTTTTTTTTTTTGTATGCTTTATGCATGCATGTTTAATATTACACATGTGCGTTTAGCCCAAAAAACAAAGCAACTTAAACAACTTACATTGAAAGAAATGTTTAATAAAGTAAACAAATAAATATTAAGCTTTTTTGTAAATACTGATACTGTTTAGATCATAAATGACAATTTTATATTTTTAATTTTATAATTTCTACATGCCATCTTAGCAGATTAAAAATGATGATCTAATATCCAGAATAATTCCAAATTGCAAAAGTCCCGATCTTGGACATTGTACTGTAATAGATAAGTAGTGATGTCACAGCACAATTACAACCTTTGTTTTATGGAAACCTGATTAATTCATAAGACGTTTGAATTTTTTTTAAAGAAGGATGTAACTTAATTGCCCTTTATTTGTTTTTTCCTTGCATTTTGCATGCAGAAGAGTATTCTCAAAGTTGCAGGATTCTGGTATTAAGAAAACTGTGTGCTAATGGGCAAGAAATCTGACTTTATTTTAAAAACAGATAAATAATGGTGTTGCAAGATGAAAAATTAAGCAATTTAATTGTTTTATATAATATCATATTTACCACCTTTCCCTACTAATTTTACCGCTTCAAATTTAGGAGGAGACAAATATGTTGCAATCCTATTTCTAAAATAGACTGTTTAAAATACAGCACAATAAAAACTCACTAATATTATTATATTATGTATTTCAAAGATCTTGTATATTTTACATTGTTATCATACATGAAAAGTTTCTAAATATGCTGAGATGAAAAAAAAATCTAGGACAAAAAATATAATCTAGTTTACGAGGTTTTCATTAAACCGCATATTTTTTATAGGATTTAGTTTAAAAAGTGAGCAATTTTGTGAAATGCATGGCGACATCATTTACTAAATTACAAAAATGAAAGAACACCTAGATAATTTTTCTTTCATATATTATACTCCCATTAATGATGGGCACTACCTGAAAAGAAAGTAGGATGAACCATACGTGACATGAAATTAGTCTGCGGAAAGACAATAGTTATATACATATTAATATTACCTGATCAATAAATAAGTGACATTACTACAGGATCACATAGCACATTGTTTATTATAAACCAACATCAACTGGAGATTACTTCACTTCAGTTCAACCAGCAACTAGTGTTGCCACATATATGTAACATCTCCCCTCTTTGGTACAGTCATAGGAATCACGGCATTACATAATTATCATATTCGATATACATTATGACCACTTATTTTTTTATATATACAATCACAATTAATATTATTGCTATTATCTTGAAGGTGTCATTTACAGTTGGTTTCAATTCTGTTTGTGTAATTGGTAACCGTGTTCTTAAATTCTTACTTTATAGCATTTGACTTGTTGATAAATTTATACCTGAAACTGGAGTATTTCTATATTCCAGTAAAGCTTCATTTAATTTCTCCAATCCTGCTTTTCTAAATAAACTATACCTGCCAACTTTTCTGCAAATATTTAGGATATCAAAGACTGCTAGTGATTATTTCAAATCCTCAATCCCTTGTGAAACTCTTCATTTTCCAACTATTAAATGGCACATCATAACAAATTAAAGTTTGAGGTATTCCATTTCTTGCAAATATTGATTTCAATTTACTAGTAACTTCCACTGCACTTTTATTTTTTAGAGGAATATGTCTACCCATTTAGTTAAGTAACAGCCTATTACTACAGTACAAAGTCCGAAATCCGGACTCGCTTCGGCAATTCCGGATTTGGAATTTTTCTGGATAATAGATCATCAATTTAAATCTGACATGATGGCATGCAGAAGTTATACAATTAAAAATATGAAATCGTAATTTATGAAATACTGAACATTAATGATCTAAAAAGTATCAAAATTTACCCCAAAATGCTTAATATTTATTTGTTTGCTTTAGTAAACATTTCTTTCAATGTAAGTTATTTAAGTTGCTTCCATAAAAAATTCTAAAAGTTCCTTTTTCTTATGTCATATACAGTTGGCTTTCCAATGCCATACTTCTCGCATAATTTTGAGACGGATAGGCTTTTATCCATTTTTTGCAGCAATTCCACTTTTTGTTTCATGGACATCGAAACATACTTTCACTTTGTAGATCCTTTCGGAGCTCGAGCATCGGAAAGTCTGTTTGACATAATCGAAAGTTCAAGCTTACTTTTATAAAATTGCTCATTTCTAATCTGCAAAAAATAATAAGCAGGATCCAATTCAAAGATTAAAGAACAACACAATCTGCAACATTAACTGAAATAGATAATTAGATAATATTAGCTTATACCGTCCGTAATACGTTAAATGTGCATGCGTAAATGTATTATGCGCATGCGCACACGCGCAGCCATAAAGGTCTTACGCGCATGCGTCAACGCGTCGCATGTGCAGAAAGTTTGTAGCTTTGAGGTCTGGATTAACGACTTTTGACTGTACTTGTTGAGCCATAGTTTTTGATTTTTCAACCCCACAGTGAGCTTAATGCAATAATGTTAACATACACTTCCTTAATGCAACAGGTACTACAATTCAATTATTGATAAAGACTAATTCTTGTTCAACACTCAACTCATTTTTAAATTTAAAATTAGATCTTGCTTCTTTAAAAACTTTATCAACACTCAAAGGCAATCCCTTTTGCCAATATTCTTTCACTAACATTAACCCTTCATCTTCTAATGTAGCTTTCTGAAATTCCCTTTCCTTACTCTCAGACATTTAAAGTTGTTTTGTTAGTGTATGAACAATCTCTGCCATATCCATGTATGGCCAAATATTGCGAAGGGGCACCCATAAATATATTTTTACCCACTTTATATTTTAGGTACTATTCTGTTAAAGTGGCATTAGTTAAAAATGCGGCACTTTTTTTTGCTACCAGTTGTTGCCAAGTGTAAAATTATGCAATAATAATAATAGAATTCAAAAGACTAAAAAAATCAGTTCCATAAAAAGTAAACTTTTTAAAATTTCTCAATAATTAAAGAAAGTAAATTTTTCGGCTAATCTTTGGAATATGGTAACAGCTAGTTTGGCGAAATTTTGGTAAGGCGATAAAGGTTACTAGCTAGGACTTTAGCAGTGTACATGGATAAAGTCAAGAGTGTGCACAATGCCATTTTTGTGCAATTCTGGGATGTTTTTTTAAGTGAAAATAGGTCGGCGTGTACATGGATACCGTGTATCATGTGTTACATGCAATTCGTAGATTTTTTTTAAAGTTTAAACAGGATGCTGTGTACATGGTATTCTTTGAAATTTATTGTTGTTATGTTAATTTATTAAAGCGAGGTGTACGTAGTTCGTAGATTCGTTCGTTGCCTAAACTGTGTAATTCGTAGATTTTTTTTTTTTTTAAAGTTAAAACATGTCGCTGTGTACATGGATTCTTGTCAAATATTTTTGGTTAGAAACTTTACGTTTTTGCTATCTAAATTTTTTGTTTTTGTTTCAGATTTTTAGCTTAAATCGTGTGTTCAAAACCGCGTTTTTGGAAACATTTTAGGCTTAAAGTTCGAAATATAGACAAAAAATTTAGATAGTAATATGGCAGCGTGAAGTTTCTCGCCAAAGAAATTTGGCGACTTGAGGGCTCATATCAGAGTAGTTCCCAATTTTTCTTTTAAATTTTGTAATCTACAATATTCTACACGTAAATAAAAAATAATAATACAAAATGAAATTCAGTCTAAACAGGTGGCATAAAATTATAAATATTCAATATTGCAGAAAAAATTTAAGTTTTTGAATATAACTGACGTCACATAAATTCTATCAAATATTACTTTAAATGGTTGTGAATAGTGCTCACCTGACATTTATTTCTCTATTTAGCACTGCCTTCACATTCACTCCATAGTTTGGGTATGACATCTGGTTTCGGGGCCTGCAAAATTATAACTGCAATTTACAGTAAAATGCTCATACCCAGCATTTCTTAATTATTTTTTCTTATATCCTTTCTAGAAGTCAGAAACTATAATTCTGCTATCTGTAATGTTTTCCTAAATAGCAGTCATCAATGTTGTAGCACGATTGAAAACAGCGACCAGAAAAAAATTGTTTGCTTTCCTGGTATAAACTCCCGAATACTCACTGTCCCTTAACATGTCCACAGTTGTTTTATTCTTTATGTGAAAAAGAAAAACACCTTAAAGTAGCTATTTTAATCTACTGTTGAATTATGGCCGATTTCTAACTGAAGTTAGAAAATTCAATCAACATCAATTCAATTCTTTTTTTTTTTTTCACAGCAAGAACACATGTGAAAACGCCATATAGGAACTTTGTTTCAGTTAACTTTATCGGAGGATTGTGAGAACAAAACCTATTGCTATGAATTATTCCTTTGCCCTGAAAAAATTTCATGAGAACCTTTTTGTCATTACGTAATTGCCAAATTGTGTAATCCATCATACTAAAATAAATTGCGAAATATGGCAAAAACATAACGAGTGATGATATTTAAAGGTTAAATTCTCGAGCCATATTTGGCATGTGGTTGTAACGGTTTTCTTCATTTTAAACTGATGTTGCTCTAACAGAATAGTACCACATTTAAAATTACAGTGCCTAAAATTTTACCAACAGAACTGTTTTAAATTAAAAAAATTCTATATTCTCTGTGTCTAATCAGTAGAATAAAATTCTGGTGTTTAAGCATGTGTCGGATTAATTTTCTTTTGTGAATGTAACTACAGGCAAAATTATAACAATGATTTTTTTATTTATTTATTATAAATCACCATTTTAAAGAGAGAGGAGAAATAAAAAGTGACATTTATTAACAAATATGTGGCAAGCATTTTGTTTATTTTTAGTCTCTTTTCTGAATGTTTACAGTTACGCTAACTGCCATACTGAATGTCTACAGTTACGCTAATTGCCATACTGAATGTTTACAGTTACGCTAATTGCCATAAACAAGTTCATCTGATTTTGGTTTGTAAACCTTAAAAACTGTGTTCTTTCTAAAGTTTTGGGTAACAATTCATTGCATTAGGCCAGTTTTTAATAAAATCTTCAAGAGAACATAGCACTCCTATTAAATTTTAAGGAAAGCGATTAAAATTTACTCCGCTAGAATTATAACGATGTATATTATAATGCGATTATAGTTCAATTTTATTATTAATTTGAATATCTACAATTTTTCAAAACTATTAATTTGAATATCTCAAATTGGTACAGCTTGAGTATAGGACCCCATTGGCAACTTTTGGCTTGGTGCACTTTTTGGACTGTTGTTTTTCTGGTAACCCAGCAAATTCTAGAATACTCCACTTCAGCAACCCTGTCGCATTCCCGCGTGTTTTAGACTGGAAAGTGACTTTTTCTTCAAAGGAGCAAAATATTGTTGTATTGAACAAATTTCTCGAAATTGTAAGGGACATAAACTGGGCAGAGTATAGGATTTCTTTGTAAATTTACCATGATTTTGTAAACTTTACTAACTTTCCAGCATTTCTTTTATTTTTAATTTAAACATGTATTCTGAACTCCTGTTTTCAGTTTTATAACTTAAAACTTGCATTTTCAATATTGCTGCTTAAAATATGCCTCCATGTACTTGTGTATTTTCAAACTTTTCTTTACTTTTAATTTAAACATGCACTCTTAACTCCTATTTTTAATTTCATATTTTTAATTTAAACATGTATTCTGAGCTCCTATTTTCAATTTTACAGCTTGTAATTTGTATTTTCAGTATGACTGCTAAAAATTTGCCGTTATTTATTTATTTTCAGTTTCACTGTTTAAATATATATTCTAAATTTGTATTTAAAATTTTTCTTGTTAAAATGTACATTCTAACACCTATTTTCAATATTTACTACTTAAAATGTGCCCCTACTTACTTATGTACCTTCAAATTTGCTGTTTAAACATATATTCTAAAATTTTTTCTGGTTAAAACGTGCTTTCTAACTTGTGTTTTCAATTTTAACGGCTTTTCCATGGCTTGGCGACCAAGCCAAAAAATGGCCAATGGGGTCCTATACTCAGGCTGTTCCCTAAAATTTCTCACATACGTTAAAAAAAGTAAAACATATCGTTTTTATTTATTTATTTTTTAAACATGTGGCAAATTTTAAAGCAATTTTTCACATTAGTTATCTATACCTACCCTCCAAAAAATAAATAAATAAGCGATCTATATTAATACTTACATTTAGTGTATATACACGTTCACCCTTTTCGTTTAAATAATACATTAACAACATCTTTTTTTTTTACAGAATTTACAGAATAGCCAGAATGAAACTTGAAAACAGTATAAACACACGTGAAATGCAAAGGTATTTTGTTTTGCATCTGCTAAATCCTTTCGCCCGATTTGCCGGTTTAAGTAATGGCAATATAAAATCAATATAAAATATCAAGTTATGTAAAATATTTGTAAGTTATTTTATTAGCGAACTTGATGAAAGATAACTTACTGAAACAAGATATTATTATTAAGATGATTAATATATCATTTGAAGACTACGTGTAAGATAACATTCAGACATATCACATCTAATAACAAACTTCTCAATGCGTAAAAATTCAAAGGCTCAGTTAAGGAGGTAGGCTCCTTGGGGCAGAAAGACTTAGCGGGTGCAAAACAAGACATCTGTCTATTCTGTCAGTCTGTCTAATATGATTTAATGTTTACTGCAATTAAAAATTTGTTATTTTGCGTATGTGATTTCTTGTATTGTTTTTATTCTATTGATTTGGAGGGATATTTCCTTTTGTACGTTTAGTGGTAACTCCAAGATTGTTTTCCCTTAATCAGTTTATATAACTTTTGTAATTTTTTACATTTTTATCGCAAATATTTCTTCATTTAATCTGATCAGTTTTATATATGTAAATTTTATATAATTTATGCGAACATTTTACCAGTTTATTTATAAGTCAAATTTATGTACGTATAAAGGCTTTAGTGTGGAATTGGGTGCCCCTTCGATTGGCGACATTTTTTAAAAAATTTGGCGATGAAACCTCACTTCTGGTTACCACGATAGTTTTAACTTTGTTTTAGCTTCCCGATTTTATTTAAATGAAAATAGATTGATGTGTACATGGACGTATTTAAGGCAGTGCGCAATGCCTAGTTTGTGCAATTCTAGGATGTTTTTTTAAGTAAAAATAGATCGATGTGTACATGGACACAGTTCTTATGCAATTCTTCGACTTCTTATTTTGGTTTTGTGTAGCGGTCATCTTGAAATTGTGTCTTCCTGGCGCCGATCTTAGCGTCAAAAAAGAATCGCCAATAAACAAGGGGCACCCAATTGTAAACTTTTACACAAATGCATTTGCGATAGGACACTATTAATTAATTTGATTGACTGAGCGTAGGGTAGATTTGGTTAATTGAATCTCTTAAAGTACCAATGTTTCAAGAAAAGCTTTTTTTTCTTGAAAACTGTAGTACTTACTTGAGCATTAAAAGAATTGATTCTGAAGAATTTATTATTTTATTTCAACAGAACTCTACTAAAGAAGTCCTTTTAGCGAAATTTTATAGATTATAAAGGAACATACATACATATTGTTGAAAATGTGAATTATTAAAATTTATGTAGATTTAATAGCTCTAGTGTAGAATTGGGTGCCTGTTCGATTAGCGATAATTTTTTGTAAAATTTTGGAGATGAAATCTCTTTTCTGGTTGCCATGATAGTTTAACTCCTGATTTTTTTAAAATAAAAATAGATTGATGTGTACATGGACAGGTTTAAAGCAATGCACAATGCCTAGTTGTGCAGTTCTGGGATGTTTTTTTAAGTGAAAACAGATCGATGTGTACATGGACACAGAGTTTATGCAATTCTTTGAATTCTTATTTTGGTTTTGTGTAGCGACCATCGTGAAATTGTGTCTTCCTGACATCGATCTTGGCGTCAAAAAAAGAATTGCCAAAAAACAAGGGGCACCCAATTGTAAACTTTTACTGATTTAATTTTTAAATTTTCTCCGTAAATTTCCCCTGTATTTTATATACTTTTTTCATACTCTGACGTTATCTTCATCTTGACATGGCAGTACATCAGTATGCAAATATGCAGTGTTTGTAAATTTGAACTGAATTTGTTAATTCATATAATTTAATAGCCTCTTTAAGAATTTTGATTTACCATGGATAATTTAAAAGTGTACAATTGGGTGCCCCTTGTTTTCTTTTGCGGTGCTTTTTTGATGCCAAGATCGGCTCCAGAAAGGCACAATTTCAAGATGCGTGCTACACAAAACCAAAATAAGAAGCAAAGAATTGCACAAACTTGGGGTCCATGTACACATCAATCTATTTTCACTTAAGAAACACCAGAGAATTGCACAAATTAGGCATAGCGCACTGCCTTTATCCATTTACACATAAATTTATTTTCACTTAAAAAAAATTAGGAAGCTAAAACAAAGTTAAAACTATTGTGGTAACCAGAAATGGGGTTTCATCGCCAAAATTGAACAAAATTTGTCATTAATTGAAGGGGGCAGCCAATTCTACACTAGAGCCTTTGTCTCATGTATTTTTGTTCTTCTACTGGCACCTTTTCAATCATTACATCTAAAATAATATAATCTGATAAAATCCTAACATTCTTTTTATAGCCACTTTTTAATGTTTTGTAAAATTTCAGTAAGTTATCTTTCACTGGGAAGTATTTTAGCAATGCTTGATTCTGTTAGCTCTTTATCAACAAAATCTTACTTTTAAATGATATTAGGAAATAAGGATTGCTAACTTCAGTACAAGTATTAGCAATAAATATTCACTGCATAAAAAAAAAAAAAAAAAAAAAAAAAAAAAAAAAAAAAAATGACTTAGACTCTTGAAGTTGTAGAAGAATATTTAACATTTTTTGGTTGATGCATTGATAATATATTCCAAATTAATTTGGGTTTTTCTGTATATTAACTATTCATTAATGATGTTATTCAGAAAAACTTTATGACTTGTATAATCTTTTTAGAATTCTTACATTTTAACATGACTTTTTCTATACAGTTGATGCATATTGCCTAAAGTTAAAAAAGATCTAAAATCTTTAATTTGATATCTTATCAGTCTCTGGAGTAGTAGTAATGTAAAGTATTGGCACATAAGTTGCCTTTGCATATATAGTGGGGAAAATTAAGGATATTTCATTTAATGTTAATTTATGAACAGTAAATAATGTTTTAACATATCATGTCATTTGTGCTTTATTTAGAGTTTAAATTTTTAAAATTTGTCAAATATTTGAAAGACTAGCTTAGAAGTCCAAATCTATATTTGTATATGAACAATATTCATATTTATGTGCTCTGAAAACATGTATGAGCTTCAGTTACTTATATTTCGGAAACAAAAAATTCTTGATAAATCACACTGAAATTTCTACACAAATAAAGTTTTTATTATTCTTCCCCAAAACAGATTCCTTTAACTTGATTCTTTATTTTATTTACTTTTATTATTGTGATGTTAACATAACTTTCTTCACATTTCTTTCTTTGTATAAGAGGAAGTTGGATATATCTTCAAAGTATAAAGTGTAGATCCTAAATCCCATTTATAAAATTCTTAAGTACAAAGTAATTTGCATTTATGTAGCATCCTGGGCTATTTAAAGATTTTTTGCAATCATCTGTAAATCTCATTTATAAAGTTCTTAAGTCCAAAGTAATTTGCATTTATGTAGCATCCTGGGCTATTTAAAGATTTTTTACAATCATCTGTTCACTTGTTGTTGTGAATGTATATGTAATCTAATATTTTAATTTGAATAAAGTAAAATTGAATTATTTCACATTTTGTATTTTTGCCCTCTCTTTTAAAATATTTAATGTGTTTTCTTCAAAGAATCAAATACGATGACTTAAATATGATATAAAATATTTTCGCATTCCTTTTTTTGGATTAATGTTTTTCATTGATATATTTTTTGTTTTGGAAAAGTGAAAAAAAAAAAAAAAAAAAAAAAACACGTTTAGGTAAATACAGTCAAAAGTCGTTAATCCGGACTCGTCGGGACTTCGGCGATTCTGGATTATCGATTTTTCCGGATTATAGATCATCAGTTTAAATCTGGTAAGATGGCATGCAGAAATTATAAAATCAAAAATATGAAACCGTAATTTATGAAATAAAGAACAATTATGATCTAAAGGATATCAAAATTAAAAAAAAAAGCGTAATATTTATTTGTTTACTTTATTAAACATTTCTTTCAATGCAAGTTGTTTAAGTTGCTTTGTTTTTTTATGTGATAATACTTTCTCTTTAATTCTATAAACAGAAATAATTTCTTTTTCAGTTTCGCTGTTCAAGTCCTATAATTGCTGCGTCGAGAATACCGACTAATTTGTCAATCGAAATTTTTTCGTTTTCAATAACCTCTGTGTCACTTTCTTCACTATCGGAAATGAATTATAGTGACGAGGAATTTGATTTAAATCATATCAAAGACGGAGTACATCAAGATGAAATACTACATTTAGTAAGGAATTATAAGCCAAATAAAGTAAAAATATCTGCCCTGAAGATAAAGATAGTGCTGACAGATCAACTTCCAATTCATTGCGTGCCACGGCATCCCCCCTCCCCTTGCAGAGCAGCGTGAAATTGATAAACAGATTTCGGAATGGTTAGATAAACAAAGGATATGCCTTTATTCATTTTTTGCAGCAATTCCACTTTTTGTTTAATGGACTTCGAAACATACTTTCGCTTTGTAGATCCTTTACATATTAGTAAATATATATCGGAAATTCTATTTGACATACCGATATACCTGTGTATAAGTCAAGATATTTTGGACAAAAAATAGACTTCAAAGTGGGGGGGGGGGTCGACTTAAACGCGGGGCCATAAAAAATTAAAAGAATCGGAAGTTCAAAAATTTCTTTATATAATGCAGTTGTTTTCTTTATATAATGCAATCCGGCACTCAAATTGGACAACTTATCAAATAAGTCACTTACTCGAAGTAATTTCATGACTTAAATTATGTGACGAACTAATCACAGAGTTTCATATTTTAACTAGAGTAAGTTTCGATTAAACTAAAGAATTTTCGGATAGATAGTTTTTACGTACGTATAAGTTTGTATAATATTTATTGTTCATTCGTGAAATACTTTTGTTAATAGGGAATATGGATGAAATCCCCATGTGTTTCGATCTACCAGAAAATAAAACAATTGACTGCAAGGGGGGCAACATTAAAAAGCCCGATATTAAATTAATTGCTCAGTGGGTTAAAGATGCTTGGAACGAAATACCCTCTGAAATGATTATAAAATGTTGTATTAAAAAAATGTTGTATTAGCAACGAACTAAGACGGCACAGATGATAATGCTGCTTTTGAAAGTGAAAATGATGACGAAGGCTCTAGTAGTGATTGTAACGATCCAGAGAGTCGAGACTGAAAATATGTATGATGACGAGCCAATGATGACAAAAGAGTTCTATGAAATGTTTGGACGAATCTGACCATGAATCAGACGTTGAATGATTTGATTTTGTTTATTTACCAAGGTATTTTTTTATCGTATATTTACTTTTTTTCTCAGATGATTTTGAATAAATGTAGTATTTAAAAAAAAAATTTCGAAGTTTCTCGATCGATTTCGGAAGTGGGGGGTCGACTTATACGCGGGTTTCTTATTTTCTACGAATTTTTTATGTCGAAGGGGGGGCGGGGTGGACTTATACGCGGGTATATACGGTAATTGAAAGTTCAAGCTTACTTTTATAAAATTGCTATAAGTCTGCAAAAAATAATAAGCCGAATCCAATTTGAAGACTAAGGAACAATGCAATCTGCAACATTAACTGAATTAGATAATTTTAACTTAGCTTATACCGTCCGTTATACATTAAAGGCGCATGTGTAAAAGTATGATGCGCATGCACACACGGATATTTGCAGACGTAAAGGTCTTACGCGCATGCGTCAAAGTGACGCATGCGCAGAAAGTTGTAGCTTTGAGGTCCGGATTATAGATCATTCCGGATTATGGGTGTGTAAATTAACGACTTTTGACTGTATATATTTAAGTTGCCTCTTGGCAAAAATTCGCGATTTTTGGCGATTGGGCAGCAAGGCACAATTTTAAGATGGCCACTACACAAAACCAAAATAACAATTCAAAGAATTGCACAAACTTGGTGTCCATGTACACATCGATCTATGTATCGATTAGAGAATTCCACCGACTCGGGACTGTGCACTCCTTTGACTTTGCCTATGCACACATTGATCTGTTTTCACTTAAAATCAGGAAAATGATGATGTCATATAATGTTAAAAAAAATTACTTGTGACCAGAATTGTACAAAATTTATAGCCAATTGCAGCTCAAAAAACTGCATTTTAAATCACGCAATAAACTAGCATAAAAGAGGAAAAACAAATTATAGCATATACGCACTACAAAAAGGAAATATCGACTTACCATATTTAGAAATTTCTGTGGCACTTAAAATTCCTTTTCTAAAAATATCTGAATTAGAATATGCATACTGCTGTCACCACATAAATTAAAAAAAAAAATAAGAGCAAAAAATATCCTCCCTAACAATGCTATTTTAAGCTCATTTTGGGTTGTGGGCGCAGAAGGTCTACGGGCCCCTTTGCCACTGGTGGATTCAAGGAGGAGCTCTTGAGTCCGCTAACAAATGATACAAAATTTTAATTGTTATTGTATAAATATATATAAGAATAAAAAACAAAACAGTATTCTTATAAAAATATTAAAAATAAAAACAACATTCTAAAATATAACAAAAAAATAAAAATAACATTTTAAGATATAACATATAACATAAAAAAATTATAACATTTTTTCGTGACTTAATATTGGCAAACTGATGTATGATAGTATCACTATTAAGTTTCTCCTGTGTGTTATATTCAATATATAATAGTAACAATGCATCAAGGTTTTCTTGATTCAAATTAGACCTAAGTATGTTTTTATTCTTTTTAGGGTTGAAAGGGACCATTTGCTCAGTGCATTAGAAATGTTTATCATTAAATAAATTTGCAGTAGAGTTAGAATATTCGGAAAAGTTGCTTTCGCCATGTGGACAACCTCAAATTTTTCATAAATTATGTTTTTGTTTAAATTTTTCCACAATTCTTGTATTCAATAATTTTTCTTCTGTATTATTGCATAATTAAAAAATATGTAATTAAAAATATTTTTATTGCCTTGTGGTTTTTATACAAAGTGTTTACTGCTTCAAATCGGGCAGATCATCTAGTTTCAACCAATCATTTTACAGAACATTTACAGTTTTGCAGTAAGTTCCATCTTTGAGGGAAAACTAAAAAGAATGCATAAATACTTTGAACAGTTATAAAAGCGAAACGACATTACCATTCTGTCTTAAGAGAAGACAGTTCCCAATTATACCAGCATTTGCCATAGCCATACATAAAGCACAAGGGCAATCATATGAAAGTGTAGATATATACTTACCTTGAACCTTTGTTCACGCATAGTCAGCTATATGTTGCATTAAGTAGAGTAAGGAGTAGAGATAATGTAAAAAAATTGTATTGCCCATGGATTCAAAAGGATATATTACAAATGTAGTTTGTAAGGAGTTACTGTAACCAGATTAAAGGAAGCAATACTTCTATTAAATATATATAATTAAAAAAAAGATAGAAAAAGCTTTTTAAGACGAATACTATAAAATTCCGTTCTCAGAACAGGTAGCTCTGCTAGTACTACTAATACAGTCAAAAGTCATTAATTCGGACACCCATAATCTGGACCTCAAAGCTACAAACTTTCTGTGCATGCGTCGCGTTGACGGCTGTAAGACCTTTACGGCTGCGAATATGTGTGTGCGCAAAATACGTTTACGAATGCGTGTTTAATGTATAACGAACGGTATAAGCTAAGCTCAAATTATCTAATTCAGTTAATGTTGCAGATTGCGTTGTTCCTTAATCTTCAAATTGGATTCGGCTTATTATTTTTTGCAGACTGTTAGAGCAATTTTATAAAAGTAAGCTTGAACTTTCGATTATGTCAAATAGAATTTCTGATATATATTTACGAATATGTGAAGGATCTACAAAGCGAAAGTATGTTTCGAAGTCCATTAAACAAAAAGTGGAATTGCTGCAAAAAATAGATAAGGGCATATCCTTTGTTTATCTTTAACGCCATGGCGCGCAATGAATTGGAAGTTGATCTGTCAGCACTATCCTTATCTTCAGGGTAGATGTTTTTATTTTATTTGGCTTATAATTCCTTACTAAATGTAGTATTTCATCTCGATGTACTCCATCTTTGATATGATTTAAATCAAATTCCTCGTCATTATAATTCGCTTCCAATAGCAAAGAAAGTGACAGAGGTTATTGAAAATGAAAAAATTTCGATTGGCAAATTAGTCGGTATTCTGGACACAGCAATTGACTTGAACAGCGGAACTTTGTAACTGAACAAGAAATTATGTCTGTTTTTAGAATTAAAGAGAATGTATTATCACATAAAAAAACAAAGCAACTTAAACAACTTGCATTGAAAGAAATGTTTAATAAAGTAAACAAATAAATATTACGCTTTTTTTTTTAATTTTGATACCCTTTAGATCATAATTGTTCTTTATTTCATAAATTACGGTTTCATATTTTTGATTTTATAATTTCTGCATGCCATCTTACCAGATTTAAACTGATGATCTATAATCCAGTCACCGAAGTCCCGACGAGTCCGGATTAACGACTTTTGACTGTAATAATTTACCTTATTCCCTGCTATCTACTATCCTGCAACCAGTACAATAAATCTATCATTTTATTTGTCCAGCAGTCCACACTCCATTATTTATATATAACGTTTGCGTCATGTTACAGATTTGGTAAGGTACTGTCTGTAGTCTAATTTATCTGCCTGATTCTTGATGTAATATATATCGATATAGTTTTCAATCCCACTTTTACCACCCGACGCCATACCAGCCTTAGATATCAACGAACAGTACAGACATGGATGTGCAGATGAGAAGTGTGGATTATTTTTGCAAAATCATTTTTTATTTTTCTAAAAAGTTTTTATCATCAGCTGTCGAAATTTATAAACCAGAAATTCTGATTGGGTCCAGGTTATTGGCCCTAGGGCCCCTGGGTGCCCAATGTATAAACCTGCACTTCTCCGTAGTGCCGGTCAATAGCATTTCTTGTGACAAACCCATTCAAAGCCATCCGAACGATCTTTATGTTCAACTATGCATATTTCCTCCATACAGACAAGATACTTATAATGACTACTAAGTAAGTCTTCATTTACATACCAGTCAATTAATGCTTTTTTCCCCTTTCATTCCAAACTTCAGACTAATCTCATCGCATACAGACATTTTATGGTGTACAGCACAAAATAAGCAACATACTTCCTAACTGACATCTAACACAGAAATAAGCCCTTACAAATATTTTCCCATCAGTCCAATTTGCCGCAACCACTCACGTCATAATAAGGTTTCCATAACATTTAACTAATTAGGTTACAATAAATGAAACAACAACTTGGTGATAATCCAAGGGGCACCCTAAAATATAGAGGAACCAATGATTATTAAATGCAAAGAAAGTGTCTATCACTTAGGTGAACATATGCATAATTTACCATCAAGACAGATAATTTCATTATTACAAGTAAAATATATAATAAATTTGAAAACAAGCATATAAAGGATATAATTTATGTAATGTAAATGCACTATTAAAAAGTTTGATTTCTTGATTTAAATTTTTCTTCTGTATCAAAATATATTTAAAGTGTATGTATCTACCTAAAATTCTAGCTATTTTGCTCACAATTCTCTAAAATGGTCACTGACTAGAAATTTCAGTTATTTAAAAAAATTTTTTTGCTGTGTTCAATTGAATTTTTTTTTTTTTTTTTTTTTTTTTTTTTTTTTTTTTTTGGTTTGTTCAGTTTTGATTTACCAATTGATTGCATATAAACTGTTTTAGAATTTTTTTTCAATTTATTTTTAATCAAATTCTGATTATTATAATTTTTAAGCTGTTTATATTGGTGATTGATGATTTTACAATTATCTAACCAATTATGGAACATTGTATGTTTTTGTGTATAGCATTGCATTATAAAAAATTACTTCCTTTTTTAAAGTTTCCAGAAAGACTAGAAAATGCGACTCACAAATATTTTATATCAAGTAAATTATCATAGACATTTTCAAAGAATATGGAAAAGGCAAGGGAAATTGCAAGTTCTGGATGTGGTTATTCCCCCTGAACTTGAAAAAATGGGAGTGGAAATAAAGGATGCCAAGGATTTCTTCTTGGAAACACAAAGGTTTTCTTTCTTTCTTTCTTTTCTTTTTTTTTTTCTTTTTTGCTGCCTTTATTTATTTAGTTTCATATACATGGGTATATATCCATTTAATGGGAGAAATAACTATTATGCTTTTGTTAAAGAAATGAGCAAACATTTTCTTAGAAATGGCAAATTGTAATTCTTTAAAATAAGATTGTTTTACTTTAAATATTAACCCAATTAATTTAAATACAACTGAATTTATTTGAGAAATTTTGTGTTAATTAATTTTCTAATTTTTTAAATATCTATAATCATTTTTAAATGTTATTCAATATGCGGGCAAAGTTAAATACAGTACAAAGTCCGTAATCTGGACTCGTTGGGACTTCAGCGATTCTGGATTACCGGTTTTTTCAAATTATAGATCATTTATTTAAATCTGGTAAGATGGCATGTAAAAATTATACAGTTAAAAATATGAAACCATAATTTATAAAATAAAGAGCAATTATGATCTAAAGGGTATCAAAATTTACAAAAAAAAAAAAAAAAAAAAAAAAAAAAAACTTAATATTTATTTGTTTACTTTATTAAAACATTTCTTTCAACACGCATGCGTAAAGCATAATGTATGCACATGCATAAAGTTTGTGGTTTTCAGGTCCAGATTACGGACTTTGCACTGTATTAGCATTTTAGGAACATTCTTTAGAGAGATAGATATTTTGTATCTAATTTCATAACTTTTTTGATCAAAAGGCCATTTTTTCCTAATGTGCAAGAAATAATTTTTTATACACATTTTTCAGGTATATAGCTCCAAAAGAAAAGAAACTGGGGCCTAAATTTACACCACCAAGTGTTCTATCTCAAAATAAATATTTGTACTTAATGCATGAAAAAACAAAAGTGTCAGAAAGTGAGTAAAATTTGTATAGCTATTTATTGTATTAAGTTTTGCTAGTTGAAAGTTACTTTATTACCTGCAATACTTTGCTTGTAAAATTATACAGTAGTGCTTTCATATTAATATATGATAATTCCATGTTAAAGCAGATCCTACATATAAGTTGTTTTTGATTTTCCTATTTTTAAAATTAAATAATAAGAAAATTGAACTTATGCTAGTGCTGTTTCTGATTGAGCTGAATTCTCTTGTTTTAGAGCTTAATGCATCCAATTAGAATCTTCTTTAAAAGGTAAAGGACATGCAGATGCATTGTTGTAAATTTTACTGTTAATGGTAGCACTTACATTTTCAAGTTAAGCAGATTTGAATAGTAGTTGATGCTCCATGTCTTCTGTACTGGGTGTAATGTATTTTTACTTTTACTGATATTCAGAGACTGTCTGTAATAAAATATACCTGAATATTTAAAATTAGAGCAAATTTGAACAGAAAGGGCTGCTGAAAACAGTCACAGCATAAAGCAAAATGAAATTTTGTTTTTGCTGTAGATGTTCATGAAAATGCAATTCACAAATTAAAACATGCATCAAGTGAAATACTGTCTGGCAGTGGACGAGAGTGTAGGTGAAATTGTATGTTCACATATTATGGGGGGGGACCTGCAAATGTAGCTTTCATGAATGCCAGGAATGCAGTAATGGACTATACTAATTTACTTTGAGCTTTATCCTATTCACGAAATTTATCCTAGCTAAAAAAATTATTTATAATATGTAGTTAAAGATCTACAATTTAAAATTTTGTTTTGCATAAAATTTCACCAATTCATCTGCAACAAAGTGCATAATAAAATTTGTCATTTAAGTTAGTAAATACTCTCAACTGATTATGAATGCAGTAATGAGTTTAAAAGTAATTAAGGTATTAATTTCCTAAAATTATTTGATTTGATTTTTGATGGTTTGTAAATCAATTCTAGCACTGAAATTCTGCTGCCTTCCAAGATAAAATTTCTTGTGGGAACCTCTATTCATAATATCACATTGGTTAAACCTCTCATTTGATGACAGAGGATTAAATGTAGTTTAATGTTTAATTTTTTAAAAAATGTCATGATCTTTTGTTGGTATGTATGAAAAGTAGCAGGATTTATGTCCTTTTTTTGTCATTGTCACAGTATTGATATTTGATGGTGAGATGGAGTGAGATGATGATAAAGACATTTGAAGGTGATTGATCTTTTGATAAAATGAGTAGTCATTATGTGTGAAAATTCTTGAGAGCAGCATAAAAACATGAAGTTGTTTCTTTTAATTTTGCGAAAAATATGACTTCAGCTGCTTCACTGCAAATTATCATCATTTGATGTAATTTTTAAGATTTCTTAATTATACATTTTTATTAATATCCAATATTTATGTTCTGAACTAAGGTATCAGGATTTAACAAAAATTTCTTGCCACTGCAAATATTATCTGCACAAACAGTTCATTTTGGTGTGTTTAATCATATTTTGTCAAATGATTTTTGACATTTGATAGAAAGAGATTTGCTTTAGAACACCGTGTTGTGAAATTTGTAAAAAAAGCATCATTATCATTAAGTACAAGGTGCCTGAAATGGAAAATCACGCTACCAGATTAGAACCATTATTTACTTCCAATTCTGTTGCAAAAAGTCAGCTACAGAATGTCACCAAATCCTGTGTACAGATTTATGTACTAATGTTGTATTATATCTCAAAAGTTCAAAACAAGGACTATGTCATTCAAGAAGCAGCACACTCTGGCTGGCTTACTGATGTTGATGAGGCCTGCCTGCAGGAACTTGTGGAAGAAGATCAGTATGCAACCTTTCGAGAGCTTGCTAGGGAGTTAGATGTTAGTGCCATTTCCATTAGTTGAGCTATGCATCACATAAACTTGAAGTTCATGTGATGCATTTCAGTCACTGGTTGCTGCATGAGCTGAATCAAGATAAGGACAGGTGTCTTCAGACCTGCACTGATCTGCTCGAAATCAATGCAAGGACAAAGTTCGGGACTGGATTGTCACTTGTAATGAAAAGTGAATTTACTTCAACAACACAGGCTGAAAAGAGGGTTGGTATGCACTCGGCGAGTCCGTTGGTGGCATCACAAAACACAATTTGAGTAACAAAAAGATCATGCTTTGTATCTGGTGGGACTGCCATGTTATTATTCACAAAGAGTCTGGAAAAAGGTGAAACCCTTGACAGTAAGTTGTACAGTGAAGTGTTAGTCCATGTTGATGCTGCTATCAAGGAAAAACCTCAAACTGAGTCCCGCATCAAGATAATGCAAGACAACATGTGTCTGCATTCATTGGCTTGGCTTTGTACAGACTGAAATGGGATCTTTTGCCACACCCACCATATAGCTCCGAAATCGCTCCTTCGGACTTTTACCTTTTTTCACACTTGCAGCTACATCTTCCTTGTGCTATCTTTCATTCTGCACGGGATGTCTGAAAAGAGTTGATCTGTTTTTTGGACTCGCGACCACCAAGTTTCTGGGCCAAAGGCTTTGGAAAACTACCAAAAAATGTTGGCGGAAAATCATAGATTTGGGTGGTGATTACTACCCACACTAAAGGTACTGCTTTCGTGTTTTTTTTATAACTTTATTAAGAACATTTTTTAGTGTTAAACTTTCATTACAACCAGATATTTGAAAACTAAGAAATTGATTAATTTAAAATTGATCTTCCCTTTACATCTGGTTTTTATTTTAAGAAATCTGTTAAGATTAAAATAGATAATCTTAAAAAATTTGAGATAAGATTTTTTTTTTTCCAAATTTAGTTATTAATATGAAAAATTTCAGCCTCTTATTTTTTAATAAGTTATTGTATATCTTGCCTTACTATATTTAAGATCTTGCTTATGTTATGGTAATTTGACTAGCATGCAATTTATCTGAGAGAAATTTTTTTGAATTAAATGCATAAAGTGTGAATATTTTAATATATCATGCATGATAGTGATAATTACAATTAGTGAAATTTTATAAACAAAGGTCCTCATTTTCTCTATTGTTGTAAATTTTGGGTTTATGGAAATCTTTTCAAATGATCCAGAAGAAATTGACAAATTATTGACAAAGTGACAGTATATAGCAAAAGTAACAACTGTAAATTACTCAAAGATAGTGCAGAAATAAGGCAAACCCTCCTAAAGACACAAGAAATATTGCAGATTACCAATATAACTCACAAAGTAAACCCTAAAACACAAGTCATTTACCTCTTTAAATAGCACATTGACTAACTCAGAACTAAACTAATCTTATAGCTCAAACATGGCTGCATATGTAGGTTTGTCCTACCCTCTGGAAACTTCAAGAAAAATCATCAAGCATTCAAAATTTCTAGAAAGTTACCAAGTTGGTGAGAAATTTCTAAATGTTGCCAGCTCCAGCTTGGCAATGAAAAATTGTTGTCAGCACCTTCAAGAGAGTTTTTCCCTCTATCTGGGACTATTGAGCTATTTTTGCAATTTAAATGTAATTGTATCAACAGTCACAAGCTATACAATTCCATACAAGAAATAAGTACTTTTGTACCTAACCATAAATTTTAATTAAGCAAAAGTACTGCCTAAAATATAGCATAAATAAATAAAATATACATATTTTAATAATACACACATACAACAATAACTAAAAAGAAAGAAAGGAAATACACTAAAATGAATTCAAATAGTTTCATCAATTTAATAATAGTATGCTTAATTTTATATTTAACAGGAATTTTATGCATAATTTGTTGCTAATTATTTTTCATATATTTTAGAAATTTGTTGCTAATTATTTTTCATATATTTTAGAAATTTGTTGCTAATTATTTTTAATGTATTTTTAGAAAGTAACTGAACTTAAGGCTGACTTTTTACATTATTGAAAATTCTTGTTGTCTACTTTTACACAGATGAAAATCAAACTTTAGCACTTACAAAAACTGTACCATATCAAGGTTTGCCAAAAGAACTTACTTCTTTGATTGGAATTGATGTTTTACCTAATCAAGATGAATTAGTAAAAACTAGTTTGCTACAGGCTCAAGTGTGGGATGCCATACAACACAAATTACCTAAAAAGCTTGACATTTCAAGACCACAGTTCATATTTAGAAGAGAATTTGGAATTCGTTATAAAAGGAAAGTGTAAGTAAGAATATAATATTACTACTGTCGATTTTTTTGAGACATACAAGTAAATGTGTAATGAGTTAGTAATGTTTTTTGAAACATACAAGTAATATAAATGAATAATTTCAACTTTCAAATTTAATATGTTTAAAGATTTTCTTTTCAATTGAGAATGATATAAAATGCCAGATAAATTGCTTTCTTGGCATTAAAAGCATTGATTTATGTGTAATGATCTTAAGTTCACATCAACTCTATTCTTAATAAAGATTATTCCCAAAACCAATGAGACAGGTTCTTTAAAACCTTAATTAAAGAAATCTTAGCTTTTAATGTATAAATGGAAAAAAATTTAGAAATTTATACTTTCTAGTGGCATTCTCTTTTCATATTGCTGCTATTCATTAATGCAATATAAATTTCAAATTTAATAATATGTAATTTTAAACTTGCATTAGTAAATAACTTTCTTATAGTCTTCATACAAAGGTGTCACCTGGCAAAATTTCACCAATTGTTGATCCTAAACAAGTATTTTCAGCTGTAAAATTTCTCAAAATAACTTCTAGAGTAATAGCGTTTTAAACTGAGTGTCATATAATTTAATTCAGTTTGAGTCTAAAAATAACCATGAGGTGACAGAAAATTCCTATAAAGCTAATCAAATTCATGAGGGCTTTTTTAGCACAAATATTTTTCTATTCATTGTAGAGAATTTTATGAAATTAATTTCAATACTCTGAATTTGAGGGATTTGTTGATACAAAACCCATAATTATAATATTGTTTTTGCAGATTGGTAAATTTGTACAGTGAATTGCTCATTATGGTTTCATGAATTAAGTTTAATGCACTGAAAAATTTAATTCAAAACATTTTGTCAAAATCAAAATTAGTGAAGATATCTGACAAGGAACTGAATAACTTAGCTTGCTTTCAGTATTTATTTTTAATCAATTTTGACAGATTTTTCACACATTTAAGTAGAAACTCAAAATATTTATATTAATTTATTAAATTAAACTTTTCATATATGATGTATTAAGATATAATAAAATATTTTTTGTGTGAGGTTTTTGCTTTGTGGAGATCATATAAAAATTAGATTATGTATTTACAGACCTAGTGTTCCCATAAAGCTCTTTATCATATTTTCAGAAATTATACGCTTGAAAAAAGTATATATTTTGGACCAAAATTTAAGAAAATAGTGTCTTCAGTTACTGTAGTACTAATGCATTAATAATTAATACATTAATGCATAAAAATAATTATGCAATATTAAGTATCTGGAGCTTTCTAAATGGTATCCAGGTAAGATAACTATGTAGCAAAACATCTGTCATAGGAAGAATCAGAATCACTATTCACCCAGATTAGATATAAGGCTACCCTTTTCCTCCTTAAAATGTCCTTTTGAAAAACTGTTTTGTACATAGCCTGATATACCTATAATATATTGCATATTCATGTACTTTTACAGTAAAGAAAACATATTTGCAATAATTCCTTGTCTCTGAAAGTAATGCATTTCTAGATCTGCCATGTTGGCTTTTTTTCTAAAGCTCATAATCATTGTATAATGATGATATGAACAAGTGATATCAAACATCATTTATAATGTAGTCATGATAAGTACATAAATATATTAGAGTTTTATTAGTAAAGTATTAACTGTAATTAATGCATTACCAATGTTATATGCTGCATGTTACATTTCCAGTTTATTTCTCTCTTTCATTCTGTCTTTGTATAAAAGGGGATTCTGATGTTCCAATGCTGCATGTTACATTTCCAGTTTATTTCTCTCTTTCATTCTGTCTTTGTATAAAAGGGGATTCTGATGTTCCAGTATAATTCTCAAGCAATGATAAAGCAGTGAAAAATAATGTTCCTGTGCTGTATCATATGCACACTGAAAGACATTAGAAGACAAAGATCGTAGCAATGGATTATCTGTCTGAACTGTGCATGTGTACTTTTGCTGATGGTTGGTTTTATCACTGATAAATTGCATTGGAAAAATTCATATTAATGCATGTACTTTGTAAAGACCCATTCTAGTTTAGAATGCATTTAGTAGTCTATAAACCAATCATTTTTTTTTAATTAAAAAAGGATCCACTATAAATTACTGGTAGCTGATGTCATGTATATTGAATCAATGATACAATTTACAATTTTATTTCAAGTTCACATATTTCAACAATTTAATTATTTTCTTATAAAACACTTTGGTATTTAAGTATTAGTGTAACCACTTTGGTACAGTTTAATGATTTGTTTTACTGGAGGAAAGGAAAGATTATTGATAAATGAAAAAATAAAATAAACTAAAATGTGCTACATGCATATGTTACTGTAAAAGCCTGGTACTGTACTGTCTGGTAAATGTTAGGTTTTACCAGTTAAACCAAGCTTTTACCAAAGTGGCTTGATAAAAGACCAAAGTATGCTTTAATATGATTCCATTTTGGGCATTTACCAAGCCTTTGGGGTAAATCCCAGAAGTTACCAGCAACTCCTGGTAAAGGCCCAAAATGAAGGATTACTTATGGTAGGATTTTCCATTGGTAGGTGTAGTAGTGTATTGCGTATTGCATACCTTCCATTGGTAGTGAATCCCTAAAAGGTTAAAACACACTTTAATTTTTTAATGAATAATATAAATTGTAAAATTGATCAAAATAAGGTATGATTTAAAATTATGTCGATGGAACTGTCTTACAATTATTTTTCAAAGAGTTACAAGAAATAAAAATAATAATAATAAAAATACAATATTTGTGCCATTTCACATGTAAGATCCCATGTGAAAAAGTTGAACTAATGCCCAATTCTTTCAATAAATTATTGAAGAGATTTCAGTAGTTTTAAAAAATAATTTTGGCAATAGTTAAAAAAATTAAATTGATAGATCAGAAAAAAAAAAAAAAAAAAACATGAAATTTAAAAAATAAGAAAATGTAGTGCATTTTTCTTTGATACTTTTTACTACCTGTTACAGCAAGGTTGACTGTTATGCCATTTTGAATTACAAAGTAGATCAGCTGATTTACACAAACACATCTTCGTAGTACACTTCCTTAAACAGCTGCATTTTCTGATCCCTTGTCCCCCAACTAACGAAAGTCTTTTTACTACTTCGTGTACACTTATTTCTTCTGTACCAACTTCTTTGATGTTTAAAAAATGTTCTTTGTAAAAGGTAAACTGGTTTCTTGTGTGCAGCAATTTTAATTTACCAAACTTAGTACCAAGAACATGAAACTTATCATATTTAATGTCTATAATAACGGCTATTACTGATTTTGGATCCATTTTCAATCTTCAATATCAGGTACTTTTATTTTAACATTTTGTCTGAGAGTGGTGTTTGGTGTATTTAATTATGGCAAAGCACACTAGGGCTATCTGTCTAAGGGAAGGGATGTCTTTGTGGGGGACTTTCTAAGGGGAACTGGCTCGTATACACGTTACACATGGGGAAAACCACGAAAATGCCCATGCAGCCAGCCCGTTTGCGGGATTCGAACCTCGGACCGAACTACCAGTGTTCAGCGGCTTTACCACTCGGCCGCTGGTGGGCCTTGTCTGAGAGTGGGTTTGGGAAAGTTTTTAGTAGACACAGTCTTGATCTTCTTTTCGTGCTTCTCAAGTTCTTCCTTATCTGTCTCTCGAAAGACTTTCATGCTTTGAACTTTGTTGATAATCGCACCCGTTGTGCCAAAGCATATATCTGGTTCTTTTATTTTTTCTGTTTGAACTTCTATTTACTTCCATCGTCATGCATGATTCTTTTTCACATGTGTTATTATTATCTTGCAATTTTGAATCAACTGTTAATTCGAGATTAGCACCTTCATCTTCTGTATCAACCATGCATTCATTATTAATATATATAATATTTTCAGAGTCCTCTTCAGTGGCCATGTTACTAATCAAATTACATGGCAAAATCGAGGTAGCAAGTCCTAGCTTCATAAGACAACCAAACATAGCTTCATTAGGTGAACATTTGACTTTCTCGTGATATGCTTTGTTTTTCATTGTGTGAAGGAATTTTAATCTTTCTCACTACTTTTCTGTTTTATTTGTTTTCATCCATGTTGCTAACGTGTTTTGAACGTCCTGGTTCACCTGTTGGACAGAACTTTGTGATTGATTGTGTCTTGGTTTGCCATGAACTATTTTTATATCACTCCACATTTCACATAAACTGTTTATGATTTGGTTGCAAAGTTCCCTACCATTGTCGGAATGGAGAATGTTCGGAGCTCCAAAAGTTGTGAAAATATCCTTAAGGTGATATGCTACTTCATCAGCTCTTTTATTATGTAAACTTCAGAGTAGGATGAATTATGTAAGATGATCTTAATGCACTAAAATGAATTGCATATCATGATCAGGATTGGACTGTATATCTGTTAGGTTAACTTGGCATCAAGAATTTATTTCGCTATGCACAACTGGTTTGATTGCAATCCTCTTTTTCACAGTTTTCTGTTTTTTTCTGCCATGGTTCACATAGTCTCAAATACGTGATGATCAATTCTACTGTTACATTCTTGTAGTAGCGATTCAGTTCCTTAATCATACAAGTTCTTCCACCATGATCAACTCCAATATGAGTGTCATGTATGACATTGAAGACATCATCAATTGTAGCATGATACAGGATTTCTGCTTTTTCTGCAGACAGTGGTGCTATAAGTTTGTCCTCTCCTCCAATATTTAGAATATCATAGCATTTCAACCTTCTGTAATGAACTGTTTGTTTTTCCTTCATAGATTTTGCTTCCTTCACTTCATTTATCAATGAAATATATTTCTCATTTTATTAAATAAAAGCTGTTATTCCTGCTTATTTATTACAGATTCAGAAAAAATGTCGTAAACCTTTTTTCGCATAACATCACTCATTTCCTCTCAGCAAAATTAAAAATGTGAACTATGTTAAAATGGAAACAAACTGCTTTTATTGTAGACAGTTGCTTATACTTGTTTGAATTTGCTCAAAGCTAGACTGCAAAAGGCTTGAATAAGGAAGGGCAGGAACAGAAAAATGTTGCCATGGAAATTGCGTGCACAGGCTTATTTAAGGTCGATTTAAATCCCTCGTTTTGGGTTTGTACCAGAAGGCATTGGTAATGCCTAGGATTTACTGCAAAAGCTTGGTATAAGCCCAAAATGGAGTCATATTAAAGCCTATGTTGACTTTTACCAAGTCACTTTGGTAAAAGCTAGGTTTTACCAGACTTCAGGCTTTTACAGTAACATATACATTTGTCTTGAAATATGTTCAAGAAACTAAGACAGTTTGATATTATAATAAAGAAAAAGCCTCATTCTAATTGCAGTTTTGGGACATTCTGGGTATCCCCCCTGGTAGAACTTTTGTGGCAATCTCTTTAAGAATATATTCAAAGCAATTGTTCCCTTAGCGATTTTATGGAAAAATAGTGTATTTCTGCAAAAGTTTTACTACAGTTTCTTCTACAGTAGGGACATCTCACAAGCACATGCTTTAA